TATCTACCTCGTTTCCACATGGATGTTATAAACATATGCACAAAGACAGAATACCCTGTACCACAGTGTGGTGAGGGGAATAAAAATCCATCTGACATTTTTGTAAAACATCACTTCCTAAATGCGGTATTTTTTGGGTATTTAAGCAAGTTTTATAACAAATCTTTCGGCAGGTAAGTAGCGCTACCTCGAAAACTTCAGTATTTTGGGTTCGAATTTCAACAACATTGTTAGTAATTTAGTATTTTGGATTCTCATCGGTAGAAAATCTCTCTGTCGAAAACTATTAATATCGTCATATTGGCGGTACGTTTTTCAGCCGACTTGGGTATATTTTGATATTTTAGGTTTATATTGTGGTTCTACCAAATATTTACCATTACATAGGTCCCATAAAAGAGTCTCGATCGATTTTAGGTGTTTTGAATTTCCACCTCATTTTCGACGGTCGAACTCAACGTCGCACAGTTTCACGACCGCGGCCAAAAATGGTCAAAACCAAGTACCTCGGAGGACAATTTTTTTTCATAAGGTATAATAGAAAACACTCCAATTAGAATAAATATGAAATTTTATATCGATATGTCGAGTAGATTTGTCTCTACAAAGGTTCAAATCTGATAATTATTTATAAAGTGTTTTTTTACCATATTTTCGAAAAATGGGCGTGTTTTTCTGATGCTCAAATATTTGAATATCCAAATTAACGTTCATTATAAAAGTGTTTATTTTGGTTGCTGTAGATGTTAAAAACTAGGATTCGCTGTAGTTTGTATGTATATAGATATCATATGGTGTATACAGTGTCCACACTTGTATCATCAACTTGTTCATCAAATTTGTAAAGCATATTTTGAAATTAGTGGAGCAGAAAAAAAGTTAAAAAAGGTTTTTTATTTGAGTGGTGAAAAGTGTGCCATTTAAGGAATAACAAAAAATAGCTGCGGAGACCTGCGGTCCTAAGAGTTATTTAACTTTTTTGGTGACCACCTTATAAAAAATATGGCATATTCATGAAATGTTTAGAAGCGAATGGTCCAATATGTTATGTATACAATTAAATAAGTTATTGAGGACCAAATAGGAAGCACACGATGGATTCAGAACATAGTAATCATTAAACTTATACTTATTTATCAGATTATTTGAGACATAATCTCATAATCAAAATTTAGAGGTCGCACATGAATTACCTTTGTAGAAAGTTCATAAAGAACAATATTATTTCTTGGCATGGGATATGCAAAGTGCAGTACAATACCTTTTGAGCGACTTCCACAAGATGCAAACAAGTCATGCCACAAAATAATTAGTAGCAGCCCGAACTTTTGTTAAAGCCGAGTTAAATAAGGATTTTTTTTAGTATTTTATATTACAATTCGACCTTGTAATATCCTTAAACAGACATAAAGTTAAGGTCCGAAATTATAACATGGATGATACTAAATCGTACATTTGGAAAAAAAAATATATATATATATATATACTTGGTATGGTAGAATATATATATATATATATATGGTATGGTAGATACCTGTAACATGGACCAACAACTAAATTGCAGCACCTATTACTGTCTTCGCCCAAATTGGAAGTAGTTTGACGAAGATATGAACATTTTCATGGAATTTGTATTAATAAAAATAATTTTATAGGCCAAAAAATCGGATTTTCAAGACCCTTTGTATGGGAGGTATATCAAATCTTGGTCCGATCTACCCAATTTTTGGTCAGTTGCTTTATAGGCCTAATTAAATGTAAACTGCCAATTTTCATTGAATTTGTTTGAATATTAAAGATTTTATAGGCCAAAAAGGGTGACATTCTCAAGACCCATTATATGGGAGGTATACCAAATCTTGGTCCGACCTATCCAATTTTTTGTCAGTTGCTCTTTAGGCCAATAATAGCACATGTACCAAATTTCATTAATTTACGATAACTCCTTCTATTTTTGGCCGCTGTTTATATGAAATCGCGACATAGTGCGTCGTTTTAAGTTATTAATTGTTTTGCGGTATTTATTAAAGTTGAATATCAGTATACCGGTTATACAAATAATATATTCTTATATTTTACAAAAGACTACATTTCAGGTAAACTGTAATTCAGTTGTGTTTGGTGGGTAATTTGGGATACAATTTGTATTTTATTTTTGCAAAATAGTCAGGCTTAATCCCAGTTTGTTGTTTTTATAAAAAACAACTATTTATTAGTGGGGAATGTATGGCATTGTCCGCCGAGGGGTAAGGCAGGGAAGACTATAGTTTCGGATCTCGCCACTGATCCTCATCAGTTCCCTTAGTTTTTTGTTGGGATATTCTCCCCAGAAGCTATTAATAGCTTCTTTACAAAAAACCTTTCGAACCCAAATGTCTCTTGTGACAATCCGAAGTTCTTACGTTACCAGCGATACGACCCCAATGAGAAGTTCGTTTCGTTGGCGTCTGACTTCGTGGTCAACAAGGCATTTACAGGCAACTACAATACATTTCCCACTGCTACGTGTCGTCACTTTGTGACGAATGCACATAACGTTGTTGTTGGTATTGCTAGTTAAAGCAATAAACCAAACAGTATGACCGTGCCTCGTCTACAACTTCAGTAGTGTTTGGCGGGTAATTTGGGATACCATTTGTATTTTGTTTTTGCAAAATAGTCAGGCTTAATCCCAGTTTGTTGTTTTTATAAAAAACAACTATTTATTAGTGGTGTAAATGCCTTGTTGACCACGAAGTCAAGCGTCAACGAAACGAACTTCTCATTGGGGTCGTATCGCTGGTAACGTAAGAACTTCGAATTGTCACAAGAGACATTTGGGTTTGAAAGGTTTTTTGTAAATAAGCTATTAGTAGCTTCTGGGGAGAATATCCCAACAAAAAAATAAGGGAACTGATGAGGATCAGTGGCGAGACCCGAAACTATAGTCTTCCCTGCTGTTTTTTATAAAAACAACAAACTGGGATTAACAAACTGGGTTTGTTTTTTATAAAAACAACAAACTGGGATTAAGCCTGACTATTTTGCAAAAACAATAAACTGTAATTAATATAATAGTTCAATATTACAGATGATATTGTTAAATATTTAACTACATACCCAATTATTCATCACAATAAAAAAAACGTACACACACGCACACACCTCAAACCAATGTGACCCTAATGATTAGGAAAATGTTTAAAGATCATTAAAATCATTCCTTTACTCATCAGCATCATCATTATCATCATGCGGACATTCGGTCTATTGTTTAGCACAATCATAAAGTGGCAATTGCCTCAGTCTCCACATACAAACATATGTTGCTTGTTCTTGCTGTTGTTGTCACATAAACTTTGTTTTGTTGTCATGACATGATGCCACACTTTAATTTCGATCTTTTTTTTAAACAACAACAAAGAAAAACATTTGTGGAAAATCCAACAGAAAATGTCAACTTACACTTGTGTGGAGGCGTTTCGAGTGAAACACCAAAAAGAAAATCATCAGACTCGGCTATGAAACACTTCCTTTATGCTGTTTGTATGTTTGTTTTTTTATTGGCGCTTTATTTAAGTGTATGTGTGTGTGGGTGTGCGAGTTTTTTATTTTCTTAGTTGTTTTTCTTTTTTTTTTTTTTTTTGCCGATTTAGATTGGCTTTTGGTAGTGTCAAACATTTTGTTTTATAAATAGATAGATTGTCGCATGGTTATAAACAACAATCAGCGATCTTTCAGATACACGCACAAACATTATGAACTAACCCATAAAATTGTAGACGAAGAAGGAAACGACAGACAGAAAAAGAGATACACAGATTGGAGCAAAATAAAAATCGTCTCTGATTTTCACCCCTTTAAAATGCCTGAATTTTCTGTTCAAAATTGTTTGTAGTGCATAAAGACAACATTAATAATTTGGCATGACAGAAATTGTGTATTGGAAGGGCTATAGACCACTTTAAATTGTAACAAAGGTAAATCCTATTGACATAATATTTACCGTCGGAATCGTTTATAACATCATCGTTTTGAAAAACGTATCGGTTATAAGAACGATATTCAAAGGTCCACAAAAATGTCGGTTCTTAATTTGATATCACTTATAGTGACCAATTTCGAAGTTCCCTTGACATAATGCGATTTTGACTATATACAAGTCGGAACCAACTAAAGTTTATAATACACTTTCCTTGTGTTCATACATTTCTTCATTCCAAACAATTCACCCTTTATTTCGAGATGTTCATTTTTGTTTTGTCACACAAGTTTTCACCAGTTTTCATCTTCGATGAATGATTTCCATTATATTTCACATTTTCGAATGTGTGAAAAAATGTTCTTCTTTTTTCTCTCCGACAAATGTCAGTGTATGCTAACAACTGTGTGGGCCGTATTCGTTCAAAAGGGATCCTTAGCATATTGGGATTTAGCAAACATATCCCCCAGTCTTTTTACAGCTTTCGTCCCGTGCGGTTGTGTACTAAGGTAAAAAACAGAATAAAAAAAAAAAAGCGAACGAAACACCCCAAGAGAAAAAAGAAACATCATTCGGGGAACGGAAAACTATGCTGATCTCGAAATCTGTGTAGCGGAAACAAGTGACAGTGAATGAATGATCAAAAGTGATGCAAAGTTATATATTTAGATGGTCCCCACTAAAAATAAAATTAACAAGAATAAATACACAAAAAGTTTCAAATATAATTTTCTTAATGGAAAAATATAAATGTTGTGATATTTCTGTGTTGAATGCAAATTAAAGTGAATTTAAAATACATACAATTTAAAGAAAATAATAAAAAATTGTTATTATAATATAAAAAATAAAGATATGATATATTCAACATAAAATACATTATTGTGTATTTTAAATAAATAGAAAATAGTAAAAATTTGTGATATACAAATTAAATACAATTTATTTTTCTTTGTAGAAAAAAGGAAATGTTGAAATCTTTGTAGAGCCAAATATAAAAAAGTGAAGAAATTTTGTGTGACAAGCAATTCCAGTTGCCTTTATTATGGCACGTCTTTTAATATTTTTAACGGCTGCAGCTATTTTTGGAGGTTGGTATTATATTCGACAGTATATAAGCAAGAAAAAATTGTGTGGACTAAAATTACATCTGACGTGACGGTAATAAATCGAAAGAAAAACATGTTCGAGAAAGAATGTAGCATAATTATAAGAGCTATATGGGAACTAGATCAAAAATGTCACCCACTTAATGAGAATACGCCCGATTCTATTGGAAGATTAAAATATAGATAATAAACCAAAATCGGCCAAAATCGTTATATTTGGGCTTCAACAAAGAGTGGACAATTATTTCTAATTTTTTGCTAAATGTAATATAAAACGTCAGGCAAAGTTATTGGGGAAAGTATATCCAAAAGTATATAATATATTGACAATATTGGTGTATTATATTAACCCATTAAAATCAACCGTCTTTGAACTTAAATTCTGCTCATACAGTATGAATGAAAGGAAAATAAATCCCTGCCCATAGTAAAGTAATTTACATGAAAGTAGGCGTTCTTAAATCGAGTTACCCACTGCAGAAATATGCACGATATACAATATCCTGAAGATAGAACAGACATAGCATTATTGGTGGACCATTGAGGTAGAATCGGGCGAAATGAAATGTTAGATCACACCAATTAAAAAAAACACCATATTAAAATCAATGAAAAATTATGAATGGAGTAAATTATGAAATCGAGTAAAATTATGTATGAGAGCTATATATGAACATGGGCCTAATTGAGCAACTCAATTTAATATCCTCAATTTTGTGTAAATCGAACAAAAATAGGCTCTTCGGTGCAACATATATATATATATATAATACCTATATCTAAATCAGAACCAATTTCAACAATCATTAACACATATCATTCTTGACTCAATTGCATTCACTATGCTAAATTTTTTCTCAATCAGACAAAAATTGGTAGTTTGGAGCTCCATCTGGACCTAATTCCGTACGATGTGTAAAATTGGTTCACTATTTCGGAAAGAAATATATATGGGAGCTATATCTAAATCTGAACCAATTTTCTCAAATTTCCATAGGATTCGTCTTTAGAACAAGTAAGTGGCCTGTGCTAAATTTTATCAAATTCGGATAATAAATTCGACCTGTCCTTTTTTACAATTTAACATGTACGAACATGCATAAATCGACTCAGAAAGTGATTCTATGCATATTCTCAAAATTAACCAAGTCTATCTTGTTCAACTGAGAAATTCGATCAAAGAACAGAATTTCGTTTAATATGTTTCATGAAATCCCTTTAGTGTGGACTTCCTCTAAAGGACTCAAAAAACAAAAATGATTTTTTAAAGGATGCAAAATTTAGTGTGACATTTAAAATATGATTATTCGGTGCGAGTTCCTTTAATGAGTTAAGAAATATGCCGAACAAGTTGAAATTATCTGACCTTTTCTATGGAATAATATCAAAATGTGGATCGAAACTGATTTATACTCTATGGCGGAACCTGTAAAAAGCTTCTTTTAATGGAAACCTTTTTAAGCTGTTAGTGTTAAAGTTTTTTTTTTTTTTTTTTTTTTTTTTTTGCAAAAACAAGTTATATTAAATTTTAATAAATTCTGATGAGAAATGTGGTCTAAATATTCAAAATTACGGAATCGTCAACGTAAAATAAAAGTTTGTTCAATATATTGACCATCTATCACGCTAGATATTATAGACACTACCACAAGTTTTCTTTTTGTCGTATTTTCTCTACCCAATGAAAATAGAATGTTGTATGGTTTTGGGTAGATAATTCTGAGCTGGAAATACGGAGAAAGTATCAAAACCCGTTGGTTTTTTATTATGGCATAGGATTAGGTATTCCAGCCAATTCAATCCCATGTATCATCTGTAAGACCATATCAAAAATTCCATACACATCTTCAGACATCACAAAATTTTATAAAGAAAATATTTTATGTTAGTCGCAAAAAAGAACACACTTATAATTCTAATATCACAAAGTTTTGCACGGTATAGGTCATCTGACCAATATGGGTCATCTAATAATTTAGCCAAAAAGATAGAGCGAATCGGAATTTTTCTTTCCGTTTGCAATATTCCTCAAATACCTCATTAAGCATTTAGCCATGAAAATGACGATAGAAATCCCAATATTAAGATAGATAGATAATAATGTTTGATATTGTCCCACATAGAGTACCAATTACCAATTTTCGGTAAAGGTGTTTTTAAGATTGAAAACCTACTTTTAGAAAATTTTCCATATAGGTCTATGATTTGAAATGGTCCTCTTATAAATGGGCCTCACCATTTACATATTTTCCCACCAAAGTATTATTTGGGTTTCCTGGTGAATAAAAATCTTGTTAGCAGAAATAAATAAATCCAATTTTATGCATAGCCCTAACGCAAGGGTCCAACATAATGGTTGATAAACTATTTTCGTTTTGAACTCTCTCAGAGGAAAAAACGTACTAGATTTCATTATTTTGAATGGCCATTTCATGGTTGAATGTAGGTTCCGCTTATAATTGATGGGAACACATCGTATTATCGCCAATAAAAGCAGACCGTCGTTTTTATTTCCTGTAGGTTTATCACTCCATATTTGATAATACATTTTTGTTGGTTTTTGGTTAGGTTCACATTTTTAGAAAATATATAAAAATTAAAAAAGTATATATGAACTTTTTATTTGAGTAAATAGTACGATTTGAAGATAATTTCAAGCAAATGTTGCTAATGCTTTTCAAATGGTACATACGCTTCGTCCAGTTTTGCCACACTCCAATAAACCGGATCTTCGACAGAAAATCTCCTACAGTCACTCTTACTTACTTACTTAGCTGGCTTGTTACTGAACGGTTGTTCCATAAGCCAAGCTTAAAAAAAGATTTCCAAGCGCGTCGGTCTTGTACGCAAATCCACCAATTTGGAAGACCACGTTCCAAGATGTTGTTTTCTACTTGGTCTTTCCATCTAATTCGTGGACTTCCCCTTCTACGGGAACCATCGCATTCTCATTCATCCGAACAACATCCGAACAACATGGATCACATACGATAACCGTGTGCGAAAACGATCGTGAACAGGACTAACGACCTGGAAGTCTCTGCTATGCATTTTATGGGACTGGAAAGGGGACTATTTATTATGAGTTGCTTCCATATGGCCAACCGCTGAATTCTGATCTCTACTGTCAGCAACTGGGCCTTTTGAAGATAGCAGTTGATCAGAAACAGCCAGAATTGGCCAAGAGGAGAGGTGTCGTGTTCCATACAGTGAAACTTCGGGAGCTTGGTTGGGAAGTTTTAATGCATCCGGCATACAGTCCGGACTTGGTACCAAGCGATTATCATATTTTTCTTGCATTGCAAAATTTCTTTTCTTTCTTCTTTAGATAAAAATGTATAAAATATTTTACTTGGAATATATTTAGACAACATATCCATTGTTTCGCCCACAGATCTGTGGAAATTTTAATGTTTTATTTGGGTCCCATTTAGAAATTTGTTTAGAAATCGAACAAACTTAACTCTAATATTTGCAGGTTTAATTTTTTTTTCTTAGAGCTAATATTATATGAAATTTTCTTTTGGCTTTTATTCAAATCTATATTCGATATACCAGTCATATCCATATTCAATAGGCTTTGGAAATTTATATATATATATATGACATATATCTGTCCACAAACCGGCAAATATATATGTGGCATACCTTAAGCAAGAAACGACAACAAAAAATGTTTCGAAATATTAACATTGGACACGGCTGACACAAATATAATTGGTCATAAATAACAGAAGGTATTCAAATAAATAAAAAAAATCAGTGGGTGGACTATAAAAATATAAATCGGACTATTTTTATTTATTTTAGAAGCTAAATAAAACTCATTCCGAAATAATAGAAAACCAAAATTGTGTTTCCTCCTTCTTTCAGCTTGTGTTGCAGTTCACGAAGACTGTGAAGTTCCACCGCCCACTAAATTTGCCCGAATCAAAATTCAAAGTGAAGAAGATGTTATTCGTGCCTTTTACACCTGTGAAGATGGCTACGCCCTGCAAGGTCCCAAAGAATTGGTGTGCGACATTGATTCGGATGAGTGGAACAGTGATCCGCCGCAATGTATCCAATTGACGGATGATGATGAGGCAACTACACAGCAGAGACAACAACAGAAACAGGCAATTCTAGAAGATCGTATGGTGTCGCCAGCATTAGCATCGACCCTAGATATGAGTTGTGTTCAGGCCAAGGTTAAGGCTCCCGAAATTCGTCATGGTATTGTACAGAAATACGAACGTCGGCGCAAGGGAGATCGTATCTTTTTGGCCGCCCTATATGCCTGTAATGATAATTTCGAGTTCGAAGATCCCGACATGACCACTCTGTACTGTAGTAACCAGGCATGGGTGGGTGATTTGCCCACATGTATTCCATTGTCGGAATATGATGAAGAAGAAGGTGAGTTGTATGATTGCTGTAAAGGATAGAGTAGATTATATTTTGTTTGTTTGTTAAGGACTCTATGAATATGAAGAAGGCGATGAGGAAGATGAAGAAGATGTCAATGAAGAGGAAGAAGAGGAACAACGCCATCATAATTATGTTCCCCCACCACCACCACCAGCTGTAACTACACCAGAACCTGTACCAACTCATGTGGAAAATGTTGAAGATGTCAACAATGAAATATATCATGGACACGAGGAAGATCAACATCATCATAAAGTGGAAGAAGAACAAGAAGAATCGAATGCTGGTGCTGCCGAAACCACACAAGATCCTTATGAGCCCAGAGTTTTAGATGAAAATTGTGGCAGCGATAATGGTGGTTGTGATCAAAAATGTCAACGTGTCTTGTTCCCTGGAGAGAATGAACCGAGGATTCAATGTGCCTGTGCCGAAGGTTTCAGTTTGGATCCCTATGATTATTCCACTTGTCACGGTGAGTTGAAATGGGGTTATTTTTATTTTGTAATTGAGTATATTCGAAATTCTTAGGAAGAAATTTTAGATGATCCCCAAATACCAAATGCTAAATTGCGGCTAAAAATAGTGAGGAATATTTATATGTGATGCAAGTGAAAACATGGATCCCCGATGTGTGGGCTATGTGATACCTAAAATTGTCGGGAATGTATTACAGGCCCTGGTTTGGGAAATTGAGGCTAACACATTGTTTTTACATAGCTGTAGTAGAAACATGGACTAATAGCAATAACTTCGTACCGGAAATTCAAAATTATAGCCACATCGGGGGGGAAATGTGGCTAAAACCTTCAAACACACAGAAAATGGGGCGGAACGTATATATGGACGCTATGTCATACCTAAATTTGACAGGAAATTTAATATTCCCGAAATGCCAAATTTGTTTAAAAAATACGGCTAAAAATTTCAAAATTTCGAAGATTATGCGGAACAATTGCCAACACAAATAAAATATGTCTCTATAGGCAGCCAGACCCATGTGACTAAATAGAAATTAAATTTTATTCCGGTCAATAATAAATGTAGTTTATTGGATCTCCTACAAATACTTCGAGGGGGTTTCCGCCGGTTTATAATTTTTCTCCTGAAAGAAAAACAGTTAATAAAATTCCCATTTTCACCTTGTAGATATTAATGAATGTGAACTCAATAATGGCGGATGTGAACAAATTTGTGAAAATTTACCGGGATCATTTAAATGCTCGTGTAAACGAGGCCTTCAAATAGATACACTTACCGGCAATACATGTATTGGTAGGTTTTCTTAGTTACTGCTTTTCACCGTTTCTTTCTCACCAACAATTATCCTCTCTTTATGCGGCCTTTTTACGCACCAACACCACAACTGTCTTCATTATCACCATTACTGTCATCCTTATCGCCATCATTGTCCTCATCAACACCAATGTGAACATTAATTACTTCCGACTGGGTTAAACCAAAAAAATCGTGTCCTCACGTCATCATCATCGTCGTCGCCATCATCAATTAGACATTGACGAATGCAATTTGCGTAATGGACACGGTCCCTGCCAGGACACTTGCCACAATCTTTGGTCGGGCTATCGCTGTTCATGTGACAATTTGCCCGGCACTCACTTGTCGTCGGACAATCACAGCTGTGTCGATGCCGGTGAATGTGCAATCGGTAATGGCGGTTGTTCACACATTTGTTTGTCTTCGCTAGGCCGGATATTTTGTCTTTGCCCGCCAGGATATCGTATGACCGGAAATGATAAAACATGCGAAGGTTGGTAAACTGAAATTTAATTGAGAGTAGTTTATAGTGGGTGAGTTTTCATTGCAGAAAGAAATGTAGAAGGATTTAGGCAAAAATTGCATATTCCGCCCCATTTTTGGCACGTTGGAAAAGTAAACTGGTCTATGTATTAACATATGCTTGTACAGTATCTGATATCAACATCCCACCGAAGTGTATGTTGGTATCACCGATTTCTTCGTGGGTAAAAAATATTATCAGAATAATTTTAAGTGGGGCCAATTTATGGAATATAAAGAAAAAAATCCTTCAGGAAGACAACTTACAATGTAGATTCACCAAGTAGTGCCACCATATAAGGGTTGGTCTGTCTACCTTATATGGTGGCTCTTACGGTAGCTATGATGGTGAGAGTGTGAAAAATTGGGCCTGGTGAAACAGTTGGTTAGAACCACGACTTTTTAATTGTGTTCAATGAGGCTCCTTGTTTTACCTGATCAAATCTTCACCAGATTAAATTTATCAGATCCCACATATTTATATGAAGATGAGAATTATCGGCTCACGATTATGAAATTTGTTATTCGGTCATCATCGTTAGGTAGAAAATTTTTCAATATTGGCCAAAATTTCGGGTTAGCACTCATTATTCTACATTTTGAATAAGTTTTCAATCGAATTTGCTTTTATTGAGAGTCAAATCTTCCTACCATAAATATATGAACACATATGTCCCAGTATAGTCTCCATGTATATGGCATTCTTAGAGATGGTATTTACCGGGTAAATACCCAAGGGGTGGGTAAATACCGGGTAAATACCCATTTGCGGGTATTTATTTGGGTATTTACTATATTGACTCGGTAATACAACATCTTACACCCTATTTCCGGGTTTCTGTTATCAAATCGATTTAGAATAGATAGTTTTACGATACTTTAAAGACGTGGGTAAATACTTGGGTAAATACCCGAGTTTTTACCCGAAAAATGGGTAAAAACTCATTAACTGCCGAACCACTTGACATAGGCGGCGAGTTTATACCCAATTTTTGGGTAAATTCTCAAAAAGGGTACCTTTGTATGGGGGCTACCAGTAAACGTGGACCTGCATACATAACATTTTGCATGGACATTTGGTACCCAAAAAGAACATTCTGTGCAGAATTACAGCCAATTTGGCCTCAAAATGTGTCTAATAGGCTAAAAATACCTTAAATCGGGAGATACGGTTATATGGGGGCTATATCAAAACTTGAACCCAGGGATCCCATGTTGGATTTCTATATTTGCTTTGACATTAGAAACATGTGTGCAAAATTTTGGCCGCTTATGTCAAGTGGTTCGGCAGTTAGTGAGTTTATACCCAATTTTTGGGTAAATACTCAAAATAGGGGTACCTTTGTATGGGGGCTACCAGTAAACGTGGACCTATATACATAAAATTTTGCATGGACATTTGGTACCCAAAAAGAACACTCTGTGCCAAATTACAGCCAAGTTGGTTGCAAAATGTGTCTAATAGGCAAAAAATACCTTAAATCGGGAGATACGGTTATATGGGGGCTATATCAAAACTTGGACCCAGGGACCCCATGTTGGATTTCTATATTTGCTTTGTCATTAGAAACATGTGTGCAAAATTTTGGCCGCCTATGTCAAGTGGTTCGGCAGTTAATGAGTTTATACCCAATTTTTGGGTAAATACTCAAAATAGGGGTACCTTTGCATGGACATTTTGTACTCAAAAAGAACATTCTGTGCAAAATTACAGCCAATTTGGCCTTAAAATGTGTCTAATAGGCAAAAAATACCTTAAATCGGGAGATACGGTTATATGGGGGCTATATCAAAACTTGGACCCCGGGACCCCATGTTGGATTTCTATATTTGCTTTGACATTAGAAACATGTGTGCAAAATTTTGGCCGCATATGTCAAGTGTTTCGGCAGTTAATGAGTTTATGCCCAATTTTTAGGTAAAAACTTGGTAAATACCCACGTCTTTAAAGTATCGTAAAACTATTCATTCTTAATCGATTTGATAACAGAAACCCGCAAATAGGGTGCAAGATGTTGTATTACCGATTCAATATAGTAAATACCCAAATAATTACCCACAAATGGGTATTTACCCAATTTACCGGGTATTTACCCAATTTACCGGGTATTTACCCTTTGGGTCTCTAGGCATTCTGATCATTTCGATATGTCGAAGGTCATAGCCAAATTTTTCGACCTTAGTGTCTGCAGTTTCACATTTGTTTTTTCCTGGCATCAATATATCATGACATACTTTGAATGTGCACCTCATGGTGGAGGGTATAAATAGTTCGACCCGGCCGCACATAACGATGATCTCCTTTACCACATAATTTACAAAAAATTTCATTTCACTCCCTTTTCAGATATCAACGAGTGTGAATTGCCCGAAGTGGTGCAAGAATGTCCACATGGTTGTGAAAATACTGAAGGCTCTTACCGTTGTATAACTCCAGAAATTCAGCATCATGTCGAAAAAGAAGAAGCCGAAGCACCAATTGACAATACCGATGATGTTGAGGATCCACCACAACCTGAAATTCCCAATGAAACACCAATGGTACAACAATGTGAACCTGGCTTTAGACTACAAGATGCCCAATGCGTAGATATTGATGAATGTGCCGAAGGTATCAGTGGTTGTCAGATGTGTGTCAACACCGAGGGTAGCTATGAGTGTACCTGTCCTCCGGGTTATGATTTGGCCGAAGATGAAAAAACTTGTATCGACATAGATGAATGTGCCATAGTTTCCGAACAAGATGAATATGCCGCCGCATATAAGGTATGTTCGCATGGATGCCGTAACACTGAAGGATCCTTCGAGTGTTTCTGTCCACCCATGTATCATTTGATCGAAGATGGACGTACTTGTGTTGTCGATTCCTGTGCTGATTTAGAAAATCCCGCCCTCAATAAAACACGTTGTTCGTATGAGTGCACCGACATGGCTACTGGTAGTTTCCAATGTCACTGCCCTGAGGGTTATGCTTTGGTCGACACCTATAACTGTGTACAAACTCAAACTGTGTGTGAACGTAATGGCGACGTGTGCTCTCCCGGTTCTTGCCAGGAAGCAGAAAATGAGTTCGGTTTTCAGTGTATTTGCCCAGTCGGATATCGGGAAGAAAACAACCGCTGTGTAGATATCAACGAATGTGAGGAGGGAACCCATGAGTGCTCTCACCATTGTGTAAATACTGAGGGTAATTATCTCTGTCAATGTCCCCAAGGATTTGTCCTGCCTTATGTAACAGCCCACAACTGCGAAGATGTTAACGAATGTGACGTACAGCCAGGAATATGTGGAGCAACTCTGAAATGCGAAAATGTCCCTGGTTCGTTTACATGCCTTTGCGAGGATGGTTCAGCTCCAAATGCTGAGGGTATTTGTGTTAGTGAAAATGTAAATCCCTGTGCTGAGAGTCGTTGCTCGCATGAATGCATCCCCGAAGGTGATAGTTATCGTTGTGATTGCCCTGTTGGCTGGACTTTGGATGAGTCACAATTGACTTGCGTCCAGTCGGAGGTTTGCGATGCCAATCGTAATGGCTGTGATCACCTATGCAATACAGATGGTACCTGCTCCTGCTTGGAAGGGTACACCTTGGATATCAATGGTAAAACTTGCCTGGACATTGATGAGTGCCAAGTGAATAATGGTGGTTGCCATCAATTGTGCATCAATGTTGAAGGTGGGTTCACATGTTCATGTCACAAGGGTTTCGAGTTCCTCGATGGCCCTTTGCGGGATTACTGCTTTGACATAGATGAGTGTGCTTTGGGCTTACACAATTGCGCCGCAGATATGACATGCGAAAATCTTAATGGATCATTCACTTGTCTTTGTCCCAGGGGTTATGCTCTGGGCATGCCCATCATCCATCCATTAACATCTAACGAAGTCATTGAGAATTCATTTGATCATCATTTGTATAATACATCATCCGCGTCCGTCTCATCGCCATCACCATCAGATTCATTAGCTTCTCAGTCATGCTTAGACATCGACGAGTGTTCCATTGAAAATGGTGGCTGTAGTCATTTTTGTATGAACCTCCCCGGGTATTACGAGTGTTCATGTCCTCCCGGTCATTTGCTATCATCGGCTGACAATAAGACCTGTATACTGGTCGATCATTGCTTACGAGATAACGGTGGTTGTTCCCATGCCTGCAACACACGCAATGGTCAGGTGGAATGTTCCTGTCCCGTAGGATTCCATTTGGACTCGAATGGGCGCACCTGCCTGGACAATGATGAGTGCTTCATATCGAATGGAGGCTGCGAACACATTTGCCAAAATAATATCGGCAGCTATTCATGTTCATGCCGCGAAGGCTTCACCCTTTCATCCAATGGTCATGCTTGCCTGGACATCGATGAGTGCATCGATGGTGTGGCGAATTGTAGTTTCATTTGTATAAATCTTTTAGGTTCGTATGCCTGTTCGTGTGAGGCCGGCTTCCAATTGGCCGACGATGAGAGGACCTGCTTGGATATTGATGAGTGTGCCTTGGACAAACATGATTGTTCACACGATTGTCTTAATGTGGATGGAGGCTATAAGTGCTCCTGTCCCCAGGGCTATTATTTGGGTGAGCATCAGTCGGTTTGTGTCGATTTGAACGAATGCATTGCCGAAGATCATGGCTGCAGTCACGACTGCTACAACACCATGGGATCCTATTTGTGTGCCTGTCCAGATGGCTTTACTTTGTCCAGCGACGAGAAGACTTGTATTAATTCTATGTGTCTTGAGAACAATGGTGGCTGTTCACACAACTGTGATCCCGATCAAGGTTGCTCTTGTCCATCGGGTATGATTTTGGGTTTGGATGGCAGGACCTGTGAAGATGTCGATGAGTGTACGGCCGATAATGGTGGCTGTGCCTTCAAATGTGTGAACTTGCCGGGTTCGTATGAATGCGTGTGCCCAGATGGTTCCAAGCCAGCCAATCCCTTCGATGCCTGTCCCAATACATGCCCAGCCGGTTTTACATTTAGCCGCGATGACCCCAGCCAGTGCGAAGATATCGATGAATGTTCTCTACCGGGTGTATGCCAATATCAATGCCGCAATACAAATGGTTCGTATGAGTGTTTGTGCCCCAAGGGTTATCGTTTAGAAAATGGTCGCGATTGCCAGGATATAGATGAATGTGCCGTCGATAATGGTGGTTGTGTGGGTGGGGAATGTATTAATCACAAAGGTGGTTACGAATGTCGCTGTCCCTTGGGCCAACGTTTGGCTGCGGATCGCAAGACCTGCGAAGTGATACAGGAATTACGCGATCAATGCCATCCCTTGGCAGCACCACCAAATGGTGCCATACATTGCACCAAATATCGACACAAGAAGAAACGTTTCTATCAAACACGTTGCAAGGTCTGGTGTAATCCCGGCTATGTTTTGCAAGGCCCCACACATCGTTACTGCAATGCCAGCGGCCAATGGGACAATCATGATAATTTGTGTCTGCGTAAGTATTCCTGTCAATCGAAATATTTGATTGCTGTCACTTGATGTTTTTTTTTTTTGTATTTCAATTCCAGCTAAGACATGTCCACCCCTTGCCACACCTCTAAGCGGTGTCATTACACCATTATCCTGTCTACTGGGCCAAAGCGGTGTGGGTGAGCAATGCCATCTGAAATGTAATGCTGGCCATGTGCCAGTTGGAGCATCAGTAGCTGTCTGCACATCTCAGCTGCAATGGTCGTATAATGGCACATTTGACTGTTTGCCAATGCAAACTGAGCCACGTCTGGGTGTCTCAAATGGTTTCACACCTTTGGCGCTGCCAAATGCACCACCCACCTTTACAACGGCCACAACAGTGCACAGCACACAATCAACCTTCAATGGACGTCCTTTGCCTGATTTTGGTTTTAAGGTGACACATTATGGTGGTAGTGGTGGCGTTGGTGGTGTACAACGACCTTATATTAAATGTCCCCGAAATACTACTGTGTACTTGGGCCCCTCAGAGCGTACAACTCATGTCATTCTACAGAAGCCGATCACCAATTTAGATTATCGTTATATCGAATCATCACCAGCATGGACAAGAGATTTACAGGTCCATTTGGGTCCTGGTACCTATGTAGTAATATTCCGTGGTCACGACCCTATCACCGGAAAGAAGGCACGCTGTAAGACAGTTATCCATGTTAAACATGCCGAAGGACCTGTGGTAGAATATTGTACACCATCATTTGAAGTTTCCTTGGGCGAGAATCAAATATTCCGTTCTGTTGTATGGGAGGAACCGAGATTTAGTAACAAATATGGACCCATTAAGAAGTTGTATAAATCTAGGGTAAGTTTTTCTTTACAAAATTTCTACTTTACGGCAATAGAAAGCCTCAGTTTAATTAGTTGGTAAAAATGGTAAAAGTAAAAAATCAACGTTCATAATAGGAAAAATAACTATTTTAAAATCCAGAATTAAAGAAGGAACCGACAAAAGTGATTTAAAAAAACACGCTCAACAAACATTAAAACAAAATTTATGATCTTAACTGGGACAAAACTTTTTTTTAAAGTCCGCCCTCATAGAGAGGGCCAAACAATTAGTATAGTGATGCTATATTAATAGCATGGACAAAAGATTTTCTTTAAATTATTTTCGGAATCGGGGAAAATTAAAAAAATCGACTTGCATTTTAGGGATCGAAAATACTTCTAAAAAGCCTTCGATCATAGTTTGGACAAAAAAATAAATATTTTTCACAGAAAGGAAAAATAAATTATAAATCAAAGCAGCAGTAAAATCATATCCCGCCTTTAGCAGGGAACACGCTCATATAGGGTAGCCAACATTTGTTTTTAAATAAATGATCTATGAGAAATATTTTTAAAAAGCATAACTGGATTAGGAAATTATTTTTTTAAATCCATCCTTATAGAGAGAACAACAAAGGACAGAAAACTTCGCGTTCATAGCACCGATATACAAATATTCTTTAGAAAATTCACTTTCAAGCAGGAATGAAAAAATTATTTAAATTTAAAAAAGCAACTAATTCAAATTTCCATAAATTTTCCAGCTTCCCGGTGAACTGTTTAATGTGGGTGTTCATAGCGTCTACTATGAGGCAACAAATGAAGATGGACTCACTGCCAGGTGTGAATTTAAGATACGCGTTAACGGTAAGCATTTTGAACACTCTTATGATTTTTCAAAACTAATTTTCAATTTTTTATATGTATTTCTATTCTAGCTGCTGGTGTTTCATCACAAAATCATTTAACTTCCAATTCCATTGAATATGGCGGTCATATATCCAAAACTCCCAAGTTACCCACTTTCCAGACCATTTCACGCCCTAGTCCAATATTCACATCACCAGTACTACAATCACCTCCGCCACCACCTCCATTACCAATCGTACCGAAAGCCAAACTAATAAACGCCCCCCTTTTGGCCGGTCATGAATCGTTTATTATTTGCCCGGGCCGTGATCCCATCAAAGTGACCAGCTCTCAATCTGTAAGTTATTATTGGCCACAATGGCTTATACGCATACATTACAAGCAAATGCAAGAACATCGCTATCATCATTGAAATTCTTGAGTATACCATTCCATAATTTAGTGGATTGATTCGAGAATATGTCAATCACTGCCTCTGCACGACTGCCAACATTTATTTGCCGCTTCAGCAGCCTTTTTCTTTTCGCATACATTTCGTAATGTTTTTATTCATCCCCATATTCCAATGTCTTCCAGGTTGAGTTGCAGGAAAATTGCATTTTGAAAAATGTACGCATCAATCCCTTCCGTCAATTTATGTCACAACGTATCATGCCCAGACTATGGACCTCATATGGTTTATTTTAAGTCAGTGTCTTCAACTATTCGACAATTTTAATATTTAAGTTTTTACGACTTAATTTTTTTACTATTACGTTTTGTTCTTGTAACTCATTTTGTAAGAATATTTGCATTTTGTAAATTTTTTAGCATTTAATAAAGAAATTAATATTTTTGTAATATTTGTATGTAATAAAAAAACCACGAAATTCATAAAAGTGTGTGTTAATTACAAAAGAACAAGTAAAAACATGGGAAGGTTCGCCCGAGTCGAATTTGTTAGACCCTGCACCATGAGGTGCACATTCAAAACACCTAAAATCGGTAAATTTCTGCAAGGAGAAAAAGGAATATCAAACTACAGACAGATCGAATAATATGGGCTCGAATATTGACACTCAATAAAAATAAAATACCGACACAATACCGACATTTAGGAGGTTGCGATAATTGGATGCAATACCAAAACATGGAAAATAAAAGTGATCAGGACACACTAAAGCTAATTCGAATGAAAAACGAAACAACATTCCGAATATTAGAGGGTACCGTTATATGAAGTATATACCGAAACATGGACCGATATATCTAATTTCCTATACCATGCATGAATTTGACTTGATTAATATGATATACGCCAATACCGACGTAAAATTTAAAAATTGTATACCATTAATAAATATTTGGAATTATGTATACTTTTCGGTGCATTAATAATGATCCCCTAAAGTATGCAATAAATAGAAAAATATACAATTTGATTTTATTGATTAACACTATGCTGCAGACTTTATACGATTTAAACATATTACAGTGTTCGTGATATATACTTTGACAGTTATTGTTCGTTTTTTGTTATATTATACCCTCAGCCTTATGGCTAATGAGGGTATATAGACGTTTATAAGTGAAAATGTGCCGCATCGAAATATTGGTTTTAGACCCCTTGTTTTATTGGACCAAATCCGTTTCAGATTTCAGATTTACAAATGTCCGTCCGTTGTCCGTCTTTCTGGCTGGCTGGTGCGCACGATAACTCTATAAGGGAATAATCGATTTCATTCAAACTTTGCACATCTTATTATTTCTTCCAAACTTAAGGGGACCCCCCCCCATTCTAGGGGTCAAAAATTTTGTTGATATAATTCAAATCTACACTAATTAAAGAATGTCCCTACAAATTTTCAAATGAAAATCTCAAGAACTCTTGAAGATATAGCGGATTTATTGTGTCAGCATCAAGTGACGGCTGAAGGGCTTCTCAAACTTTAAACGCGTTTTTCTCTAAACATTTTTTTGCGAATGGCGGGCACGATAACTCAAAAACTTATAACCCAATCGATTTCATTTTTACACGTTTCTATGTGAGTGTATAGCTATCGTATGAACTAGGATAAAGCCAATCGGTGAAGATCTTCCTTATTTTTTAACTTTGGTTTTGGTAAAAAATTGGCGATTTTCCAAAAATATTTTTTCAAAGGTCCGCCATTTTGTTAATTTTAGAGCGAAGTCAATAATCCTAGTTCATACGAGAGCCAGACATGTACTCTTTCTAACATCGTTGGAATTTTTGGATTCCGATGTTTCAGTGAGGAGTTATCATGCCCGCCATCAAAAATAAGGACTTTTCTTTAATTACAAAAAACAACAACAAAACAACAAACTTTTTTTGTAAATTATTTGTCTTCTGTTTTAAATCTTCAATTTTATATGTGTAAAGTTACAAACCTTAACAAGCATTGGTATTGATTTACCAACCCATTGAAAATCTTGAAAAATTAAAATCGTGAATGGGGGGGTTCCCTTAATTCAAGTTCAAAGATGGGGAATATCCGTCCACTCCTTATGGTACCTCCCACACAAAATGGTAACAATTGTGCAAAAATATATTTTTTTTCTTGAACCAAACATTGTACAACCTATTATCTAAACCAAGCATAGTAGGAAGATTACATCCATTAGTCCACTGCTTCTGGTACCTCCCCCACAAAGGGTCAACATTTTCAATATTTGTAATTCCAATATCGGGCTAATGAAGTGTTCGATTTGAATCAAACTATGCACAATATATTTTATTTAAAAAGCCTAGATTAAATCCGAAGTTGGGACACGTCTGCCCTCTCCTCTGGTACCTCCTCCAAAAAGGGTCAATATAATATAATCTTGGAAATTGATCAACATCTTTGATAAAAACATATACCTTATATAAAACAAATCATAAAACCTGTGTGTAACTTTATAACGTGAGGATATATATCCTTCGGCAATGCCGACTAACACTTCTTTACCTTTTTTAAAAAAAAATATGGCTTGGATTTCTTTTAACCTCTGTAAAATGAAATCATGTAAAATGACCGCCTTCGGCAATATAGTGATAAGGTCCCGCTCTATTTTCGGGATTTTGAAGGTCTTAGTACATTTTCCTATCGAAAAGCATTCCGGTAACTTATACTCGTATTTTTTAACCAGTCTTACTGTATGTGTGTTATATAAATCCTTCTCGCAGACATTTCATATAAAGGTTCCAATCAATTTTAGGTATTTATAATGTACACCTCATGAGGAATGATTAGTATGGCTATAGCACTGTGGTAAACGGATTTTATGAATTCAATCTTAACCGACGCTCCATTCATTGATCATACGACTTATGACAGAAGATGGTGTTGATGCGTCCAAAAAACACTATTTCATGGTTGTCTAAATTGGAGTGCCAAAGAAGTTTCCACAATTGGTTGGAGCACATAAAAACATTATACAAAACCAGTGAGCGGAGCAGTATAGTCGGACGGAGCCGACCATATGATACCCTACACACCTTCCACGAAAATATAAATTTCTGTGGTTCTACATTCTGAGCCTGGGCAATATTTCGCGATATTTGCACCCTCTTGACTGACTCGAGGTCAACAAGTATTACTAATATTCAGTACAGCCCTTCTAATCACTTGTCCAGATTTTTACCGTGGGTTGTGTTGTGATCGATTTGAAAAAACGCAAAAAAGTAAGTTTTCGGTCCACTTCATCCCAATATTATAATCTGATAATCATCGAAGATTATAGGCGCTATATTTCCGTCCTCTATTGTGGTTATGGGTTACTAAATAATATATGAATACATAAACACCTGCAAATATTTAAGTGTAACTCCCACATCCGAGTACATACGACAATATAATTGATATCAATTTAAAGGTCAACAACTCCTCTTGGATATTCTATCAACTTCTCGGGTCTATGTCCTTCAGGGGCAAATATATATGCCACAGAATAAAAATTTTGTCGTTTTTCACACAAAAGTCTGGGTCCATTTGACCCGCTTAACCGATCTTTATCAAAACAGGCATGCCTATACTTTGCCCCGATCCCTTCTCTATGTAAAAATTCGCAATATTTGGGCATTAACTGCGATCTTTATCAAAACAGGCATGCCTATACTTTGCTCCGACTTCTCTCCATGTAAAAATTCGCAATGTTTGGGCCTCTGAAACGACCAGAGAAACCGACAAAAATTTAGTATTTGGTCCATTTCATCCCCTAAATATTAACCGATCTTTACCAAAAAAATAAGGGTCTTAATTGGGCAGAACCCATCCTACATACACATGTCTAGATCGACTCAGCTAGTCGAGATATGACGATAGGTATACTTAAAGTTGGGTCTGGGACCAATATTTCGTGGCGTTACAAATCCTTGGGGCGGCACTAAGCTCTAATACCCTGACAACATAGCTGTGTTGGGTATAAAAACGTTTGTTGATGATAAATATTTGCGTCTTAATAATTTCTCCCGAAAATCCTCTTGTAGATGAAAGTTGTTAAGTTATGTCCCGATTAATTTGTTGTCACTGAGTAATATAAATGATCATGCCCATTTATGTATATTTTTTTGTTATAGGAATTAATGACAACTTTTAATTTTTTTTAAGCAAAGGGTTGTCGCGATCCCGCATTTAGTATGAAGAAAAGATAAAATATGTGTAATCTGACACTTTTCGCCAATAAAATAACATTAAATTTATGTGATAAAATTTGATTGTGCTCCTAAATGTCTGTAGATAATAATCGTTTATGTTAATACCCACTTTTGCTGGTATCTCTTAAGTTCGTGAAGAAAAAACCTGTAAATAGTTGCGGCTATTGGAGGTTATATTAATATTAAATTTCCTTCTACATCGGGTCTTTGTGCATCTTTTTCGATCTTAAAATTTCAGGTAGTGCCCTCAAAGACAAGAAGTCCATATTCGTATGTATTCATGATCCTTTAAAATTTTAGGCGATCCTTGCTTAAAAACCCTTACACTAAATGAACTGAATATGCGGGAAACAGATTCGGATCCCTCATTTTTAACTGGATGTTTAGATGGTAAAACCCGCTTTATCCGGTCCAATCACCTTTTTAAACTTAAAGCTAAAAGCTAAAAACTTTCAAAAAGTCTATCAGCCGAAACTGTTTATATTGGTTAAGGCGGTGAGTTATATATATAAATGTAAGTATATTTTTGATCAGAG